CATATCTCGAACATTGCTACGTCACACCTAAGAAGGTGGAAAGTTTGGAAAATTACAGTAATGCAGAGAAGGCTGTTATCCATCTGCAGCTGGAGCATAAAATAATCAGATCACATCAGATCACAGAGAGGTGCCACTGCTTTTGTGCGTCACCTGCCATTTGGCTTCTGGTAACCAGATCCACTGAAGGAAGAAATTTGGTCTAGAAGCTGGCAACACCCCTAAGACTGTCTGGTGGTGGTCTGAGTTACTACCTTAGAATGCTGTCCTTGGAAACCTTACAAAGGGCCGTGTCTGCTCCGTTCTTGCAAGGCCTCTAGTGATAGGGGGGTGAAGGGAAAAGGGCCATCTCAGAGGCCAAAAAAAGATGAATGTGGTCCTGCAGGCCTGCATTCAACAAACACAAAGATCCAGCTTTTACTCCACAATTACTGGATAACAGAGCGCAAACAATTGAAACTGTGTCCTTGATGAGCATTTCTAATTCTGAAGGCACCTCTGGACATCCACACCAGAACTGTGAGCTTTAAGGGAACAAATAGCTTCGTTTCTTCTCCATTACGCTTAAAAACACTTTTCTGTGTAAGTGGGCTCTGTAGCTCAAATCAGGACCCAAGATTAGAAACAATACCCTCAAGCACTCATCAAAGCACGTAAGACTCTCACCATCTTGTTGTCCTCCTTCTTGTCTGTATTTAGTTTAGAAAGTGTGAAGAGTATTGCAAGAGTACTGTGGGCTCTCTGAGGAAGAAATCTGCACTGGAGTGGCTAGCATGTGTGAAATAGAGCCTGCAGCCATGCACAAAATGAAGATTAAAAAGCATTAAATAGCTCCCAGTGCACGAAGGAGGCACGGTTCCAATTTAGAAGTCGCAGTAATCCCACACCAAATGGATTACGTGGTCATAAACTCTAAGTGCATATGTACAACCACTTGAATTACAGCACGCTCACAGCTTCTTTTTCTTCCCCTCCAACTTTTGCACGCTAGATTCTGTCATATTAAAACACACAATTTAAACCAGAAGTCAGCTGCTCTGCCATCTCTTCAGTGCCAGAGCACCTGCGTACTTTTGCAGAGCTAGTTAGGATCAGGCTGTATTGCAGAACGCAGGCTGGCCTTGCAGCCTCCGCAGCTCAGCTTCTCAGCTTTTGCTAGAGCTTGGTATCCTCTGAGTGTTCCTGTTGAGGCTTGGCACTGTGCCACTCCCCAAGTGAGTGGCTGGAAGGATGTATCCGGGCGGCAGGGTTGCCTTCCCACAGCAAAGTTTTTAAGTGGAATCTCTGGGGTGTTTCCAGCACGCAGCAGTGCTTGCTGAGCAGCCCTCCCGTGGGAATATGTTGAAATGCAGTTACGGACATGAGGATGATCATAAGAGGGGGAAAAAAAGTGCTGCCTTATTCAACAGATTTGTTGCAGATGTGACTTCAGAACAAGCTCTTACCATCCCTGGTTATACTACAGCAGAAAAACAAAGACGCAACCAACCCAAACCCACCCAGCAGGGCTGTGTTACGAACAGATTGGGATCTGATGTCACAACAACTGGGCTTTCTCCTCTCTGCCTCTGATCTTGTTTTTTTTTTTTGTTTTGTTGTTGTTGTTGTTGTTGCATGTACACTAGTGTATAGGGAAGTTATCCTGAAGAGTAGCATCATTACCAGCAGAAATCCTTCCTTGCACGTCAAAATGCTGACACATTGAAAATACAGTTTCAACTGCCCCAAAGTTGGAAGGAGTGGGGAGAGGCACAGTAATTGTAATAAGAAGACACTACAGGAAAAGCCTAGATGAACTACTTTTTAGATTTTCCAGCAAAATGACAACTATGCCTTGAGTTGAAATAATTAAAAATAAAAATAAATCAGCCAAAAATATGAATATAAAGCAACTTTAATTTTCCTCTAGATATTTATATCAAAGAAATAATACTCATGTCCAAGTATTGTACATACAATATCTTCCTTATAAACTCTTTAGTTTAAAACACGTGTACAAAATTGCACATTGCATTTTGCAAAAAATCATAAATACCTTTTTGCATGTAAACAATTCCAGCACAAGGATAAATGTTATACATTCCAAGATGTCTAAGTCTCTGATCATAAACAAACAAAAACGAACAAAAATCCCACTGTGATCCCCATAAAGGTCCTAGTGTTACAAATCAACCATTAACAGATTTCTAACTGATGTACTGCACACAGGAATACATAAATGAGCACAAGGCAAGTCGCCTTTTAGTCATAAGCACTTAAGACAGAGACTTGGAATACAATTCTGCTGCCATTTAAACCCGTGGTATCCATCCCACAGTATCTACTGGTAGCAGGATTGCATTAATTTTTTCCAAGATTGACAGCTGCAGTATGCCTTACTTTTAATTCTTAAACAAGTTGGCTACCGCTGAACAGTAGGAATTGTAAAGTTATTGTAAACACAGTCATCACCGTTGTATATTCAGTAAGTTACAGTATTCTCCTAAACACATCACTAAATTAAGAAAATGTTTTACATTTAATCAAGTGCAAGTTGCCAAACAATATTGTCCACTTTGTTTCAGAAATAAGCATTTTGATTATAGTACTACATAGTTTGTTAAAGTAACATAAAAAAAAATACAATGGACATAATCCTCAGTTGTATATTATTAAGCCCTATAGCTTCTATTTATGTAAAAAAATAATCACATCGGAAAAAAAGCTGTCAGAGGCATCCTTGATAAACCTTCTCCTGACCAAATCCAGCCAATCAGTAGCTACTGCATTTTGTTTCGGTATTATTACCTTGGTTTGTGTGCAATTTGCTTGCCAGCACACCTATCTCAAGAGCTCCCCAAATAATCAGATTTAAAAGAAAAAGCAGAAGTGTTTCTGAATCCATTCAAAGAAGGGTTCTGTGAAGTTGTTTTTGTGGTTGTTCTTTTTTGTTTGTTTGTTTGTTTGTTTGTTTTCCACCTTTTCAAATACTATAAAATTTTAAAAATTCTTCAGATTCTCCAGAAGAAGAAAATTCTTCAGAAGAAGAGATTTTGGAAGGGTATTTCAGAGGATTCCTCTGTGCCAGCTAATTTAATAAGGCAGAATATGAAGGTGCACATAAACCCAACTTGTAAAAATCCAGAAGAGCATGTAGGCAGACAACCACCCACTAACTACCTGCACATAAGCTACTGCAAGAGCAGAGGCAAATCTGAGCTGCTCTGTCTCCACCTTTCGATTTGAACAGCTATCCTGAACGAGTACGTTTCAGAGCTATGCCCAAAGGCCTAGGGAGAATCAGTTTGAACGTCAGAGTTGTAGGAAGTGACATTTTGCTCATACTTCTCCTTTTGGACAGAAAAAGAGCTCGGGGATGCTGGTGGCTAACCAGTAAGGAGGGGCTGCTTCTCCTTTTCTAGAGGTCCCCTGGGTATGTGATCATGCAAGGGAGGACCACAGGACGTGAGCAGTTCCAGCAGCTACCCCAAGACACCATATTGCAAGGCTCACGGTGCTGTGAATAAGTATTTTCTACAAGGACACTGAGCAAGAAACAAACAACAGTAAACATGAAGTGCTCCCAAAGCTGAGTCCAACTATGCAGGAGCCCTATCAATTTTAGCTGATGAAAGATCTCTATTGAAGTGATGCAGTCAAGTGGTCTGAAAGACATACTGCTCAAAGAATGATAGATTTCTGCTTGCCTAGCTTGCACCCATCCAGAGCTTCTCCCTTCTCATGGGTGTCTGATTGACACAGCATGAGTCATCACGAACACCATACTATGAGGGCACTTATGTGGACCCCTAAACCTCAAGAGGATCTTCAGTCTAGGCAGAAATTGCAGAAAGAAGAAGCAAGCCTCAGATAAACAACTCCAAAAAAGAAAAAAAAGAAAGAAACTGTCCTGGAAGAATGCCCTTCAACTCCACAGTCTAAGAAATATAGAAGCTGAAATGCCTCTTCAACAACAATACTTGTTCAGAAACGGAGAGCTAGCTGTGCTTGCTGGCAGGAACCTGCTCAGGGCTCCTAAGGTTTACCTCCAGACAGTATAAACTAGAGGTAATATAACAGATAAACTTGTTTCCAGGAACTGCAGGCTCACTCTTCACTTTCACAGTAGAACATCCCTTAAGGTCCTACTCTTCTTTTGACCTTAAAAAGCCCATAGACCCATTCCTAATTAAGAAGAGTGGGTGTGGTAAGAATCAGCAGCCAGATTTTGGTGGGTAAGAGGCCTATGCAGGCTTGCTCATCGTTTTCAGTTTGAAAGCCAGGAATTGCACAATACTATATTACAACACTTACTCCCTTCTCTTTGACCCCTACTGCAACCAAAGCAAAATTACTCGTGTAAATAAATGTTTACATTGAGCACGGTGACACAACTACCCCAAGTGTCTCCGTAATCAATAAATGGTACATTGCAACAAGAGAAGCAATTCTCCAAGATTTGCTCGTAACAGGTCTTTTGTTCTGGGTTTTATGTTTGAGGGGTGGACAGACAGAGGAAAGGAGAAAAAAATTAATGAAGTGTGAATATCTAATCTGTTACATAGGGAGGAATGCTCAGGGGACTCGCAAGAACTTGTTTTGCTACATATTGAGCAACATCACATGGGAAAGCCTTGAAATTAGAGCAAATGCTTGAAGCCAGGGCGTAACTGCCTTTTGGAACTTGTCCTTCATGAGCCTCGTTTTATTAGAGAGCAGACCTTTGCATCATCAGCCAGTGTTCAGACCTGGACTGTAGTTGATGACATTTCAGTATGGTGGTTACCATGGCTTTAAATAAATAAGGGTAAGTGTGAAATTACTGCTCATCAGGCAAAACAGGGAGGGACACAGCTTCTAAAGAGGACAAGTTTAGAAGACATTTAAGCAGTAATAGTAGAACAGAATAAAAGCATTTCAGAAAGCAACCCTAATTCTCCCTACTTTACTGCACAATAAATATTACCATTAAATAATCTCTTGTAAATAACTATATTCCTTCCTTGGATTTCTTGCCTCTCTTTTTTTTTTTTTTTTTTTTTTACTGTTGTTGGTTTCTCCACGTATGAATGTCTAACTATTCCCATGGAGAAAGAAAGGAATAAAAAAAGGACAATGCATACTGTTGGCCTGCTGGGAGCACGATACAATACCGTACACCACAAACACACCACAGATACACCAGCTTGTGCTGTGAAGTTGCCATACCATTTTAGTAACAAGCAAAAAATGGTCTGATCTGGTAACAAGCTAGCAAAGGAAAAAAAAAATGCAAGAGTTCTGCTTTTGATTCTGTTCATTAGGAGAGGCAAGTTTTCTGTTGGTGTCATTTGAAGTTTTCAGGAAAGAAAGGAAGGATATCCTAAGCAGGCTCTCCTGAGCTGTCTATTAACTTTATGCCACCATGCATCACAAGAAAATCTGAAGGTTTATTATACAGAGGAGGAGAAAAAAAAAAGCTCTGAAGCTCAGCATGTGATCTCTAAGAAAGCCCTTTGTGAGCCACAAGACTATCTTCACAAGCTTTTTTTGAGGGCTATCCATTCTTAAAAGCCAACCTTTGTGTCAGACAGGAGGGCCATGCTTTCCTAGTACCAAGAAGTCTTCTGGAGAGGACAGGAAAATGGTATCAAACAGTTCTGCAATTTTCAAGCTCCTGGTTAGGGTTTTTTGAATGCCAGTCCACAGCCTAAGAACAAGGATGCAGTGAAAAGTCTGACTTTTAATAGTTTCACTTTTCTCCACCTACTCACCAGTAGAAATCAGGGAGCATACCCTTTTGCAGTTGAAAAAGACACTGTAAGGTATTTAGCAGAAAGATTTTCAAATTGCTCAATTGACAAACAAAAAATAAAGACTGCAAGCCACGATATTTTCTGTGATGGGATAGGGGGTTTGTTATGGATACAGCAAGATTCTACAGACCTTACTTCAGTGGCTTACAATTCCACTCTGAACTAGGTTTTAATCAGTAACTAGCAGTAGAAGTAAGTCTCAAAAGCATGCTAGATACCAGAACCCAGTAGTGTGCTAGCACATCTATTAGATGTTAGCAGGGCTTTGTAGTCAACCAATGTTTCAAAGCATTCCTAGAGAAATCATAATTTCTCCACAAAAATCAGCTCATAGGTTTATTGATCTGTTGCAGACGATATTTGTTACCAGTACAGATCCCGGAGTAGAGCTGAACTCACAACTAGCCATGTTATGGATGCAGACCTGCTGATGGCATACACAAAAGCAAATGGCAGGCAGGTGACGATCTAGAGCCACACCCCTGGAACCATTATTTATAGTAATCTTCCCTTCACTTCACAGAACAAATCCTTACTTTGTCACACACGGCCCCTCCATGCAGAAGTCACCCTTGTCCCCTCAGAGCCACTGACAGGCACTATGAAGAGAGAAGTTTCACAGCACAAATAGCTCCAAGCCATTTCCTAAGCAGCCTGAAGAGAGAGACCTCTGACACTAGAAGATAGGAGTAATTGAGAGCTAAAAAACCTTTCATCTACCATGATGAACCATAATGGCCTAAGTCTTTATACATTCAGATATAATCCCTCAACACCTTCTCAGTGTCACTTATTTGTGACAAGACTAAATAGTTCATAAGAAAGGTGAGGTTCTGCCTTTTTCACACCAGGTAGTGTGTAGAATCCTGACAGCATCACAGCAAGTGACTGTGGATTCCAAGAAGTCAGTCACCATTTGCAGGCTTATAATGTACAGTGAAATCTTTCTGTTCAAGACCTTTTCTACTGATGCAGGCCTTCCAAAATACTCACAGGAGCATGAAAGTGATGAGTGCTACCATACACCTATGCCAGAATGTTCATAGTCACTGCACACAACACTGACCACATAAAATGGCAAAAGTGGCAAAACTGCCTCAGAATCGTCCCAGTGGTCTTCCCTGGTTACAGCAAAACAGCAAATAAAATACTTGGAAAACTGAAGCAGTTTTGTGCCAGTCAAATATGTACACAGAAATGTCATATTCCAATTTTTCTCACTGCTAAATATAGGAAGTTAGAGAGTCAGGTAAGGAAGAGGCAAAATCATTCAGCAGCAGTTATAGCTGCACACACACACACACAAAAATGTAACTCCCTGCTTCTTCATCTCAGAATCCAGAAGGCTGCATGAAACATATTGCAGGATGACATGTTACAAGCATATTAATGTTTTCTTGCATATTAATTTTGGATATAGGGAAAGTTTCTCCAAGAAGCTGCTGGACTCAAATAGTTAAGATTCACACTGTAGCAGCCAGGTCCCTATTTTCAGCACAACAAACAATTCAAATATACTACGCCTCCGCACTTCAAACAGCACTGAACAATACTATACAATAACTGATTAGAAATTAGTTGCCAAATAACATTTCCACCTTTAACAGCTGCATCCTGCAGACTGCCCAGGGGCTTAACCTGGAGAGAGTGCTGCTTTCTCAGAAGTGAGATGGACACATTCAGCAAGATAACTAAAAGAAAATAACAGAGCTGCTCATGATTCCTGAGCCAGTAATGACATAAACACCAACCAAGGTAATGGAAAAGGCTTAGATGGCCACTCTTTGTTTTTTTTCAAGAGTACACAATATTCAACAGTGATTTATGATATGCAGCCAAGAATCCAAATCCCTTGAGGTACTGATCTCTTGCAAGACTACCCACTGCTGTTCACAAGAAATCAACCAGCAGAATCAGCCCTTTCACTGACGGAGATGCACCACTATTACAGACCTACAGTCCTCAGAGTGCAAAGAGCATTTGTGTCTGGGAATCTGTTCCTCAGGCAGGCCAAATGGGCTGCCCTGAGCAATGCTGGAAGCTGCAAGAACCACTTCCCATCCACACCGACTGCCTGGACAGCCAGAGACACCAAGATGTCACTGCCTGAGGCGCTGAGGAGCACATCCATTTCTTGTCATGGCATCCCCTAAACTAGTGGCAGAGAGGGGGGTGGTGCTGGTGGTGGCTTCCCCCTCTCTGTGCCCAAGGAAGGGCGAACAAAACCTCCTTAACCACAGATACACTCTTCCTCCTGCTCAATACAGAAAAGATCAGATAATCACTCAAAGAAACAAATGTCATTTACGAGTCAAGCTGCTTTGCTGTAGCACATCATCTCAAGCAACTTCCAAATCTGCTGGCAGACAGCTGCACTCCCAGCAGCGAACTTCCAGTAACCAAAACAGATAAAGGAAGGGACTGTACCACCTCTAGAGCAGAGACTACACCTGGGGCAAAGAAACAAGCAATGTCCATTTGTCATGGGTTTGTATTTGGGATGTGAAACCAAGGCAGAAGGACTTAAGAGCATTATGGGAATCTTTGTAGAGACTGGCAACAGCATGCTTAAGTATGAGAAAACATGGCACAGCTTTGAAGGATGGAGAAAAAAGCACTGAGGCTCCAGAGAACTTGAAATGAATTGTTTTTTACAGTGACACTTAAGCACCCTATGTACTTGCAGTTACTGAAAATGAATCACACAGATCAAAGTTGTGTAAGTGGACCTGGTATAACTCTTTGAGCATCTCACAGTGACCAACATTCATGCAAAAAATCAAAACAAAAGCTAACTGATACAGAGAGGACAAAAAACGCAATGAATTGATTTACTAACAGTAAGAATAAAATACGGAACCCATAAGTAAAGATATAGGGACACTATAGGGAAAACAGAGTAGTGATCCACTTTAGAAGACAGCAATGGAAGAAACAAACACCTGAAGCAAACCAAGCAGCATGCCTAAGCCTTGCCATGTGTTTCAGACCACAGAGTACTTAGGTCATCCATTCACATACTGCTGCAGAGCAGCAGCCTCTTGCAACGCCAACAAAACCTAACCTCACATGGCAGCCAGAGCATGGGGCAGGCTGCTAAGGGAGTGCATGTATGAGCTCTCTGAGAGGCAACACATTGTGCTGAAAGCCAGAAGGGTAAAGGGATAACACAGAGTGTTTGTTGGCTTTAAAACCAACATACCAAAAAGGACTGGCTAGTTACAATCAGTAGGGATAACAGGGATTGCCTGTGTCTGAGGATGCACCCACTTCCTGAGCATTGCCAATATATTCTGGCTGGAGCATTACCAAAGGGCGTGGAACAGGCATGAGCACTGCACAGCCTTCATCTGCCCTGCCACCAGGTCTTCACCCAGCCCCGCACTCATCTGCTGATCTAAGAACTGAAACAGTGCTGCCCACACACATAGCTTCTGCATATTTTTCCAAGGCTCTTTAACAAGAAGTATACTTGCTACACGTGCAGTGAAGGCAAGCACCTCACGTCAGTGGATTTCCCCAGAGCATGACCTCTCCCACTGGGGAAAGCACAGAAGGGTGGGGAAAAAACAGCTTCTATCAACTTCTCAGTCTTGCAGCAACTTTGCAGATGAGTGATGCCTGCCACACAATGAAAACTACCTTTTGCCTTGTTATCATGCAGCAGGTGCTGCTACAGACCGTAGCTACCCAGCTCAGAACACTTGTAAGGGAGTCTTCAAACCCATGTAAAGATGAGAATTGTTTTGTTAGAGAATCTGTTCATTGGTATTCCTAAAGCTACCCTAAAACCAGCAAAAGGTACCATTACACTCAAGCACTTAAAACCCCAGAGCGGGCTCTGATGACGTGATTAAACAGTTACAAAATGATTGATATGGCTTCTACCTAATTTGCATATGCACTGGGAAAAGAAATACCCTCAGAGCATCCTGGCTTGCAACACCCCAATTCTGATGCACTGTCACATCACCTTACGCCTATGCTGTGACCATGCACTAAATGTGCTGAACTTTGGGAAGAGACAGCACTAAGAGTGAAAGAAACACGAGTCCATCCCAGGCCCTCTTCTTGAATTTCAAAGCGCAGGCTCCAGGAGAGGTAACGCAGGTGTTCAGCAGCTGCTGGTGAGGCTGAGCAGACCAGAAAGATGGCTGCACCATGGGATGCCCATGGTCCCCACCGCAGGATGCCCTTGTCGAGTTCCATGCCCAGGCCCCAGCGGTGTGGTGCTGGAGAGGTGTGGGCTCTGCTCCACAGTGGGACTGGCTCGGGAGCTCTGCTCTTACTGGTGGCCTCCACGCTCCAACAGACGGCTCCAGGGCTGCGCGGGGATGCTCAAAGCACACAGGTGCACAGAAGCGAGGCAGGCAGAAGCACCGAGCAGGGGATCTACAGCTTTCCAAAACGTGTTGAGGATTATGTCGAAGCAATCAGAGGAAAAAGTCCCTGTGCTGTTCCCTTCGGCTAGTGAAATCTTGACAAAGAAATAAACTGCCTCAGTTCTTCCCAACCAGAAGCGTGTTCCACATTCCAGCACTGACTCTTTCCATCTTCAGAGTATTGCAGAAAGGTTCTTCAGAGCAAAGTAGACCAAGAGGAAATGTATACAGATCTCTACTGAAAAATAAATCTACGTCTCCGTAGTAGTTCTGCAATTTATTCAAACAGCATACAACAGAATTGCCATTTTATAGTGAATCCGCCCCAAATCTGAGCCCTTTTCTGTATAGCACTTAATTGTTACTATACTATGTAAAGAGCAAACACTACTGGAATGTACACAGTGAAAGAAAAGGAGTAAAGCTCTTCTTGCCAAGGAACTATCACTACTAACACGTTATCTATAAAAATAAGGTCTAGGCAACATCCAAAAGTGTTCAAGTTTCAATAAATAACTATCAATGCCCCAGATTCGCACTGGCACAAGAAATACAGAGCTAACAGCTGAGAAATGTCCTTTCCTACGGCTGAGCCAGCAACGCGTCCTGTCCTGCTCTGGACTTAACACCACTCTCCTTCAGGTTCAGACTCAGTGTGCGAGCACCCACCTGGATGACTGAGCTCTCAATGGCAAATTAAAGCTCTAGAGAAAGACAGTAGTTAAAAAAATCTTTATCAATGCCAAGAAAATATACAGAGCCATATTATGCTTTAAATATACCTATATACACGCACATCTTTTCCAAAGGGCACAATTCTGGCCTTTTTTTTTTTTTTTTCCTCTTTTTCTCTTTTCCTTTTTCTCCAAACTCTGAGAAGCTTATCGATTGCTATACACTCTGGTATGGCGCATTAGGAAACATATATATATAGATATATATATATTATTTTTTTTTTTATCCCCACGTGAAAGTAAAGTTCAGTCTTTCTGTAAACAGGAGTTACCTTAACCTCCGACACCTCCACAGGCCTCGCGCACTCCGCCCGGCGCACAGCCCCGGCTCGCACAGCGGCCGCGGAAATCAACGGGCGCGGCACAGCACGGCGCGGCGGCCCCGCTCCCTTCTCCCGCTGCCCCGGCCACTCCTCAGCAGGCGCCGGCCTCGGGCGCGGTGGCGGCGGCGGCCTCCGGGGGCGGCTCGCGGGGCGGCGGCCCGGAGGGAGCGGCGGCGTTGATGTGGCAGCCGGAGGAGAGGTGGCTGCGGACGCGGCCCTGCAGCTGAGTGACCTGTGCGCGCAGCAGGTTGGCGGTGGCGGCCAGCTCGGCGTTCTGCCCCTTCAGCGCCTTCACCTTCTCCTCCAGCCGGGCGATGCGCTCCAGCTTCCTCCGGCGGCACTTGGAGGCCGCGATGCGGTTCCGAAGCCGCTTGCGCTCCGCCTTCAGGCGCTCCTGGCTCTCCGCGTCCAGCGGCGACAGCGACGGCGGCGTCGGGGCGCTGCCTCCTCCCTCCCCGCTGGCGGCGGGCGGCACGTCG